GTGTTTATTTACTTTCATCTTCTGACCCAACTATTTACGGCAGGGCAGTGAAGAACTGCACCAGCGACCCCCCATTCTCTAATGGTCATCTTGATGTTTTGCTTCCCTTTCTGTGAAAAGCCAAAAGAGCGTGCGAGACAAGAAAGGACCTACGAGACTTTACCAAAGACAGTAAGGGGCAGGCTCAGTCGATGCGGGTAAAGCTGTCATGCGCAGCAAAAGCATCGTACTCCTGCTCAGGGGAGCAGTAAGTTTAAGTAAGGAGACCTCAGGAGCAACACACAGACCCAGAGCATTGGAGGGCCCGCTTGCAGCAGACCATCTCTCCGGCATATGATCTAAACCTCATTTTTCTTGGCTGTGCAGATATATGGTTTGAATAACGAAGGTTCAATATCCTCTAGGTTAAAGAGATACTTGCACTGCACAGCTTTCTGGGGAGACAGATCCACAGAAGTTGCAGAAACTTGAATAACTCGCAACTTAACTCCCCCACACACACCCCTTTGCTTTTCATGTTTTTGGTTTTATCTAGCCAAGAGACTTCCTAGGACTCCATCTTCAGATCTTCACAATACTGCAAACCACGTCTCAGCGACCAGCAAAGACTGCTTTGCCAGAACCATGGTAAATTATAGGAAGTTTGTCCTTCACATGCTAATGTACTTGCAGTTATTCAGAGAATACCACTTCTCACTGCTATTTCCAGTTCTCCTCTGGCCAGCAAAAAAAAAAGCTGCAACATTGGAAAATTTTTACACAAGCTGGCACCATCACTCTTCATAATTAGCATATCTTCGGAATATAGTTCCATCACTTGTGTAAATCTAAACCAACCGCTCGGCTGGGGATGCTGGTTTCAGAGGGTCATAAAGGAGCAGGGCCTAACACACTGAAAGAGATGTCTGGGCAACCCGCAGAGGCGCCCCGCTCCTCCGGGGCGAGGGGGAAAGCCCTGCAAACTTGTTCTTGCCATCACCAAATGGCTCTGCACACTGGATGAAGGATTTCAGAGCTAGAGAACTGCTGTGTCCTACAGACCCCTTAGCTACCCGCAACAGGCTCCCCAGGATTAAAAAAGAATTCCCTTACCTAAGGGACTCAAACTCATTGGCTCTGCAGCAGAGAGAAACCCTGGGAAGGAGCAGGGGGAAAATCACCAACTTGTGTTTCAGAAATGGTGCTCTATCATATCTTCTCCAGGCAGGAGACCCCAGTACTAAAACAGGACATACTCAAAAATACATCGTCCGATGAGTCCAGCCAGCTTCCTTACGTGATATTTCCGTCTAAAAACATAAACACAAAGGAAGCTTTCTGTATAAAACAGTTTACAAATTCCAATGTGCCTCGCACACAGCACATCCCAGTACTTGAAGTTACTTACAGGGAAAATAACTCCGAACACCACATTAGAGCAGCTCGCCCCCAGGTGCATGAACGCCTACCAACATAACTCTTTGTAGAGTGAATGCTCAGGATTTGACAAGCATGTTACATTCCAAGTATAAAGAAAGGATGTAATTGAATCCTATGCGGGTACCACTTACCTTACCAGAAGTCACCATTGCTGAACTTCAAGGAAGAGCACTAAAGTACTCATATCATGATGAAAAAAGCAACCCAAGCCAAAGTGGGATTCACAAATTCTGCTCTCATTAGTAAGAGCAGGAAGTAATTAGCTGAGCTCTGGGCACACACATTTGCACTTTATGGGCCTAGTTAGAGAATGACCACCAGTGACTGAAATCTGCCAGGAACTTACACCAGCCTAAGCCACAGAGAGCTTCCCCTACAGCCGGTGGACGTCATCAGAAAGAAACATCCAGTAAAACCAAACTCACCTCTCTGCTGTGCAACAGAGAGAGCAAAAGGGCTCCATAAAGATCCCTGCCCAGGCATTTAAAGATGGTGCTGAGCATCCCCCTCCAACCGCCCCCAGCTGGTGGGAATTCACAACTCCACACCCTGAGGGCCATCAGCTGCGGTTAGCTCTATCCTGACCTTGCAAGACAGCTTCTGGGAAGTTCTGGAAGCAGCTGGGTCCTCAATAGGTGTAAAATGGAACAGGTTAACGTGGTTTCTGTACTTTGAAGGACGACGGGAACTCTTAACAAGGACCTAAGCTCTTCCTCAGATCTCATTTCTGGTGTCTGCCACGCTCTTTTTTTCCAGTTAAATACTGTACATACATTTCCCTCCTGCAAATGAAAGCGTGTGTTCACTGTAAATAGGCAGATTGCCATCCCCATAGAGGCACGTATTTTCAAAGAAAAGTTAAAAGCAGCAAACCACCCTGCTGCACATGGGAAAGGGCGGTGGTGAAATATAATTTAAAGGCTTTTTAAATGCCGCAGCCAAGTGCAGCTTCCAGAAATACTTAGGGCAACACATTACGCATGCGTAACCTCTGAAATAACACTTTTCTGGGCCAGAGGAGGACCTGCTGTACAGAGTCGCTCACATCAGCGTCTCCACTGTTTCTGCAGCTCTACCTCAAGTAATACACACCCACCCACCCTTTATTTGTATAGCTTATAATAACAAGGTTGTACTAAGGTGTTCTTGTGACAATGAGAGGCTCGGTCCGCACCCCTCCCTGCTGCTTCTGGGGAAGCGGAAGCAGGAACACACGGGACGGTCCCCAGGTTGCCCCTGCGGGGACGCCGCGCTGGCAGCCTCAACACGGGATGCTGCTGCGTCCCGGGGGCTGCCGGGAGGAATCTGCAACCGGCAGACATGAGACAGCGCTGGTGAACCAGTGGGAACAGCTGAACCGGGGATTTTTCAGTCAACAACGTGTTACGCAGGCATCTGCTGCACAGCAATCACCTTTGAGCAAATTTGGAAGAAGATGAGATCGGTATGCACAATAAAAAGCCCAAGGAGTGTTTAAACTTCTTGTTTGAAGTGTGATAAGTTAAAGATGTCTATTTGTCTAAATTTCAGGAAAAAAAAAAAATATCCAAGGTCGTTTCTTTGCAACAAGCCGGTCAGTTCATCATGCTGAGCAAATAGCAGCATGTCTAATTATTGTGGGAGTATTCCAAAAGGGCTGATGTTATATATGGCAGTAAAAGGGTTTTGATTAACCACAAATCATTTGGAAGAGTATAAAAGTAACTCTTCCCCCTTAATTCTTCCTGCCTTTCACAGAGGAACCAAGCTCACCCCAAGCCCCTGCCAAAATCTGACAGTATGAGCTGGAGAACAGTAATCTCTGTTATTTTATGGGTGAGCCTTACTGTAGGCAGAGCCCTGCCTAGAAGTTATCGGGACATAGGTAAGAACATACCTCATGGTTTTTATTCTTTTGTGTAATACCGATGGCTGCAACTTTGCATGCATGGTTATTTGGTATCTCGGTCTGCCAGTTCTACCCGGGTATTTTCTTATGGGTCGAAGGCATACAACAAAACTGTATCTGTATAGATTGTTTGTCATCAGCCTTCGATGTGTTGCTTCTTAATGGCTTGAGGCTCTACGTAGCGTGCAGGACGGCCAGCGCTTACTGAGAGGAAGAAGTCTACTGAAGGGCAATTTAAATCACAGGGATGCACTTGCGCCACCGATTTTAGGCGCTCCAAAGCTTGCTGAAGTAAAGCCTGTGGTTGTTCCAGCTTCCCTCCACGGTCCATGAGGGAGCACGGCAGAGAAGTCCCAAGGGGACCGCTCAGCGTAGCTAAGTTACGCCATAGCTGTGTGTTAGCCTTTGGGGGGTCCTACTCCCTCTTCACCGACTACCGACGCAGCCTGCAGTGCCCACGCTTCCCACCGGGCTCAAGTGCCTGGAATGAACAACTGAAAACCTCCGCTAGCGTGAGGTTCGGCAGCTTCTTTCACATTACAGAGTGTTATCATTAATCAACCTTTTTTTGTTTCATCTTTTCAACTCCCAAATGCACTAAATGGCCCAAGAGTGTAAAACAGAAGCGATGTTTGTGTTAGTTATCTCGCGTTATCGTCTCAGCTGACACTCCCACGTTACTCAGAGGGAGAAGCTGGCTTATTTCTTTGATTTGTTTGATCCTTTTACACTGATCTCAGCCCTACTGACACAAGGGTGAGACAGTAACATCTTGATAAGGGGAACAGGCCCCTTATTTTAAAACGTATCTCTCAAAATATTCTCTGACAAACAATGAACTCAAGAAATTATTGCATTTAGATTTGTCCATTAATAAAGGCCCAGCAGCAAAGGAAAAATATTTGCAGAGGATCTTCACATAGACTAGACACATTTATTTTCCTCTGGGCCGGTTCACAACATGGACAGAAGGATGCAGCTCTGTGAATTTTCAAGGACCTTTGCCTACCGATGTAGTCCTCAATTTAGCCCATGTTTTCTCCACAGAAAACCCTTCATCTGTAGCTAAAGAGTGGTCAAGCACAGCTTTAACTAGCTAAGGCAAGGTTAAAAGGTGTGTTATAAGGTGCTTATTTCGCCATGCAAAGTGCATGGTCGAAGTAGCTGAACGCCCCCCAGGTTTTAGCATGTTCCTCCCCACAACACTTGCGCTAGGCAGGGAGATTGTATCGGCCCCGTTATAGTCTAGGTCAGAAACAACGACCTCCCGCTGAGGTCAAAGAGGAGGGTCCATCTCCTGCCTTCCTACCCCCAGTGCTAGCTCCCCAGGCACCAAATTGTCTTTCTCCAAGACTCCAGTACCAAAAAAAAAAAAAAAAAAAAGGTATTCGATGAAGCATTTAGTCAAAATATTTTATTCAAATTCTCTTGTTTTTCAGAGGAAAAACCCAGCATTGGCCAACGTTTTTCTCAGCTGCAGGAGAATACTTTTAAAGCCATGTAAGTCGTCCAGGTAAAGCGTCCACTCGCACATTTGCTGCCACTGAACATCTTGTGTCATTTGGAAATGAACACGTGCCGTGAGCCAAACGCTCCCCGCTCTGCCAGCCCGCGCCCGCACGGCCCGGGGCGGTGCGGCTCCTCCGCCTGTCTCGCATGTGTAAGTTATACAAATAGCTTTTAGGTAGCCAGCAACAGGTTTAATGCTGCGTGTTCTTCCCCAGTGCCATGATCATGTTCGCTCAGTACGCGCAAGGAGGCACCTTTGGCAAAGCAGTTAAAATGGCTGAAGATGTCACAGACCTCGCCAGAAGGTGCGCTGCTGCAGCCGGCGACGACCCGGATTGCCTGAAGCCCTTGGTAAGCACGTCCGTGCTTCCAACCTGGCAGACGTTTTCAGTAGTGGTTTGTCATTTCAGAGCCCTGCTATGTGTTTTGCCAAAGAGGAGCGAATACATTGTTAAGAGACGTGCCTTCCTTGTATGGGCATGCTTGGCCTTATTTATTGGGCTTTTTGTTCTCCAGGCTCCCAGCTATAAAGCATCTCAAGATTAGTGGAGGAAAACAAAGCTCCTCTTCCCCCCCCCATCCCTCCTCACCCCAAATATCACAGCATCTTTTGAAACCATTGACCAACCTGTGTCTTTCTAAAAGATGTGCTTTTCTGGCTGGCGTAACAAAATTCAGAAGACAGGTTAGATGTTTCTAGCAAATACAATGTTCATGGGCATTAGCTCAATCCTATTAACTCCCATTCCTGGTTTTCAATGCTGTCTGCTCCGACGCGTTTTTGGAGCTGACAGATTGGATCACGAAAGGAGTGTCATCTGCATCACGACTCATTTCTGATTGGGTGAACACGCTGAAACAAAGCCTGAATGCAAGCAGGTCCCAGCTGAGGCGTGGCTGACTGCTGACCTTGGGCACTGCTGCCTGATGGACCAGGAACAAGGCACGTTCCATTGCACGGACCCGACCGTCATCAGAACAGCATAGCTCCTGCAGTAAAAAAAGAAGAAAGATCTGAATAATGTTACAAGTTCAGAGTGTTTGGAAACCATTCCACTTTGAAGCCTGTCTTGCCATAAGGCCAGGTATCAGTCTGAGAACTCATCGTCGTTAGGATTTAGAGATCAGCCTTGTTGTCACTGCAGCCGAAGCAGGGGCCAATAGAGAAAGCGTGAGTTTAAGCAAGTCAGGGCTTGTCGGCTGAAAGAAGCCTCTTCAGAGAGCTCACAGCAGTAAAATGGAATCCTCACACAGACTAATTTTTTTTCTAATTTTTCACAGGGCAGGATTTTCCTCGACACAATATGCCAGGAGGAAAACCTTCCCAGGTTTACTGATTGCTGTGCTAAAAAGGATCCTGAAAGACATGACTGCTTCCTCGCCCTTAAAAATTCATCCAGAGGGTTCATTTCTCCTTTTGAAAGGCCGAACGCTGAAGCTGCCTGCAAAAATCATTCACAGCATCAACATTCATTAACGGGATAGTAAGTAAATAAATCAAGGATCCGTTGCCTAGATATGGCAGTTATGAGCCTCGAGACAGCAAACGCGGTATCGCTCAGAAAGTTCAGCCTAAGATTCTCCGTAATCTCATGCTTGTTTTTCTCCCTAATGTGACTTATTTGCATAATTTGCCTAGCTGTAACTGTCATTATGTGAAGCCTGTTCTGCCACCTTCTGCCTCAGATGTAGGTCCAAATGACAAACAATCCAGCTTGTTTCGCTGTAGTCCATGTAAGAGATGGATCTGAGACCAAGGGCCTCCCTTTAGTCCGTAAAAGCCACGCAGATGTTTTGCTGCCTCTAAGCCAGAACTGGCAGGATCTGACACTTCCATTCCCAGGCAAACGTTGGCCTCATCAGAATTTTTCCCAGATAAACACCGCACTGTGCAGCTTGTCGTTATGATGGGAAAACAATCGCTTTTAGCAGCTATCACGTTAATACGTGGCAGATGCTGCCCCCTGCACGTAAGGGCTTACTCCGAAACCAAAGGCATTTCCTGCTCGGTTTTAGTTTTATCTACGAGGTTTCCAGAAGGCATCCTTTCCTCTACGCCCCAACAATCCTTTCTGTCGCTATCCGTTACGATGAGATGATGAAGAACTGCTGCGGAGGAGCTGAAGACCCCACTCAGGACCTGGAGGAATGCTTTCGGAGCCAGGTATTCCACCGTGGGGTTGGAGTTTATTACTGTGCAACCGGGGACCTTCCTATCGCTAAACAAATACCGAAGCAGAGGTTTCGGCCATTTCGTTTTCCAGCACCCGAACCTGCTAGTAGATTCCACCTCGTGAAATCAGGCTGAAATCAGACTTAAATGCTCTCTTGAATTAGAGCTGGAACTCCTAAATGAAAATGCCGACGCTGGGGTGTCGGGCAGATGTAGCTTGCCAGGGAGCCCGAGGCAGTCCCCACGCCCGGCGATAGCATCGCTGCCCACCCCGACCCTGCTACCTGCGCTGGGCTTGTCGTAAGGGTGCCCAGGGAGGAGGTGCTGCTGTGCAGGGTGCAGAAGGCTGATTCTTTTTTTTTCCTGCTGCTAGCCCCGTGACACATCCCCTGCTGGGCCGCGCGTTTGCCCTGCAGAGACGTGCCCCACACATAGCCGGTGTCAGGAATTCAGAGCACACTGCCTGCACGGGTGGGAAATAAGCAGGGGCACCCTGCCCTGGCTGAATGTGCCCTGCACGCAGCGCGGCTGGGCTGCAGGTCATGGCATAGTTTCACATTAGCTCACAGTAACGCAAAGCCAGTCGTGTGGCTCCCAGGGGGCCTTTTCTCGTCCCGTGCTAAAAACACTCAACTACTCTCTACAAGGGTTCTGGTTTCTTTTCACAGAACCCTTAGTAAATGCTGGTGCCTAAACAGCAAGCACAGCAGTGAGTTCATATGGTAGCTTGGACAGCACATTTCTTTTGCTATTAAAAAAAAAAAATCCCTGTTTAAAAAACAGCCACCGCAGTTCTAGCAGAAAGCGTTGTCTTGTCTTGTCTTCCGCTTTCATGGTCTGCATCTTCGCTCTGCCAGGCACCAAAGGTGGTGAAGCCAATGAAAGAAGATGGCCTGAGGCAGGAACACACATGTGGAATCCTGAAGAAGTTTGGCGAAAGGACCTTAAAGGCTCTGTGAGTCTTCCCACGTTTATCATGATTTGGAACTAAAGCGCAGATGTTGCACGTTAGCTGGGGGTGGCTCCGCACCTGCACACCGTACCCTGACCCCGGATACCAGCCGTGCCCTTAGTGCGTGCAGGTGACGAGCAGCACCTAGCAAGGAATGCAGATCCGGAATACAAATTTACGCATGGCAGCAGTCACCGTTTCCTTACAAACTGCCCTTAGCTTTCAAAATGTAAACCCAAGGTTTGAAACTAAAGCATCTCTGTGATGAAAGACTGATCGTGAACTGAATACAACTGCTCTCTCAAGTATTTGACATAAGGTTGCTCCTGCTCACCTACCGCCTTTCTACCATCTCACACCAAAATCCACCCAGGCCCCTTTGATAACTCTGAACATCTCCCCTATCGGCTTCAAGGGACATTTATTCATTAACTTCAGCGGGAGCGGGGAGATGCCACTCCAGAGCAGTTTGGGTACCACCTCCACAGAGAAAGGGTGACGGCTATCGCAGTCTCACACACGGAACTTAAACAGTAACTATTTCTCTTCCTTGCAGGAAACTCGCTCAGATAAGCCAAAAATTCCCTAAAGCTGATTTTGTTACTGTTAACAAACTGGTGATGGACATTGCTGACATGCACAAGGACTGCTGTCGTGGAGATATGCTGGACTGCATGCGTGATAGGGTAAAACTCATTTCATATTTATTTGTTTGCAGAAACTGAGCGCATTTTTTATTTTTAGGGTTTTTTTTATTCTTCCTGGCCCATTGTGCTGCTTTCGGCTGGGATGGAGTTAATTTTCTTCCTAGCAGCTGGCATAGCGCTGTGTTTTGGATTTAGTATGAGAAGAATGTTGATAACACACCAATGGTTGAGTTGTTGCTAAGTTGTATTTTTATTAGTCAAGGACGGTGCAGCTTCCCCTGCTCTGCCAGGGGCACGAGGAGCTGGGAGGGGGCACAGCCAGGACAGGCGGCACCCACTGGCCCCAGGGCTATTCCAGACCATACATAGGGCATCATGCCCAGTACAGAAACTGGGGCGAGCTGGCCCGGGAATAGCGATTGCTGCTTGGGACGGGCTGGGCATCCGTGAGCAATCGCATTGTGCATCCCTTGCTCTGTGTATTATTGTCATCATCATTACTACTGCTTTATTTTTTTTCAATTACCAAACTCTTCTTTTCTCAACCCACGCGTTTTCTCACTTTTACTCCTCCACGTCTCTCCCCCATCCCTGCGCGGGGGAGCCAGAGCGGGGCTGTGTGGGGCAGAGTTGCTGGCTGGGGTTAAAGCCCGATAGCTGTACCCATTGCTCTTCAAAACCCGACTTTAACTCTGGTCTAAAAATCTCAATGATTTCCCCATTTGACTTTTCCTGGTGTGACGACTTCAGTCTTCTTCTGCCGGATGCCTGCCGCACAGCTTTGGGCAGCCACCTCTTCTCTTTGGGAGTCACCTTCTCTGTCTGTAAAATGGCGATAAAAACACTGATCTAAAGAAAAAAAAAAAAAAAAAAGACAAAAATGGGTAAAATTTTCTTCCTCCCTTCCCTTTTTTGCTTTACAGGAAGAGATTCTACACTACGTCTGCACCAACCAAGACATCCTATCAAGTAAAATTAAGAAGTGCTGTGAAAAGCCTCTGTTACAAAGAAGTGAATGCATAGTTAATGCAGAAAATGATGACAGACCTGCAGGCTTGTCCCCCCACGTCAGGGAGTTCATAGAAGACGAAGGAATATGTGAACGTTTTGCCCAGGAAAAGGATACACACCTAGCCAGGTAACGCGGGGCATCTTCTGCTCTTCTGTTCTGCTGTTTCGATACTTGGCTTAAAAGATGGCAGTTTGGCCGTTAAAGCCCAGCTCATCGGCCTCAGCTTTGTCTGCTCTGTGAGGGTGCAGGCGTGGGATACCGCGCAAGGGGAGCGCAGTAAAACACCACTCAGCCCTAGAAGGTACGGAATGGGAGTGAAGGCAGAACCGGGCACGGTTCTTATTTCAGAGACAGAACTGAAGAAACACACGTGAAATGTAGGTGCTATCGGTTCTGATCTCAGGCCCCAAAATGGCTTTGATCTGCTCTTAACTGGGAATTCAAAGCCACTTGTTTGACTAAGTCAGACTCATGTCTTGATTCAGACGGGACTGGCCCATTCTGTTCCTTTGTGCAATGAAGCCCTGGTCCTACCCGTAGTAACCCTGGGCGAGAATGCCCCAGCCTGCACAGGAACAGCGTCGAGTCCCAAAGGCAGAGCATTCGCTTCAGTAATTTCCCTCACTTCCACCGGCGAAGGGTGCGGGTAGTCGGTGGGGCACGACTGCTCTGCAGGGCAGCGGCTACAGCAGAGCTGATCTTTCCAGCTTCTCCTGAGACACGGGTCTGTTACTGGAAAGCTTTTCATTATCATTAGATAGGATTAAAAAAAACCCAAGCTCTAAGCTGTGCCTGACCCAAGCTAACGCTGAGCTGGGACTGTTATATGCACAGGACTTGCTCAGGCTATGCTGTGCCCAGTCAGGTTCAGGCCCAGGCTGAGATGCTGTGAAATTCTCCCTGTTCCACCAGACAAAGCCATCCCAAAAGCAGCCCCGCTGTCCTTACCACCCCACACCTCTTGAGGGCAGATGTTAGGCCTATCTCTAATTCCCCATATTCCACATATTGCAGGTTTCTGTATGAATACTCCAGGAGACACCCCGAATTTTCTGCTCAAATGCTTTTAAGAATTGGTAAAGGATACGAGGACCTGCTGAGGGAGTGCTGCAAGCCCGGTGCGCCAGACGACTGCCGCAGCAGAGGGGTGGGTGCCTTTGGGATCCACACAACACTGATGGGTTCAAGCCTGTCACCACATGAGTGGTTCTGGCTAAACAGCAAATATCCCTGCTCCGGGTGTAGAGCGAGTACCCGCCACTCCTATAACGAGCCCAGCAGATATTACAAGGCCCGACTGATTCCCGTATGGAAGAAGCACCAACAGAGCCTTCGCAACCTTCAGTCGCAAAGCACTTTAACGTGGATAGAGGGAGATGCCAGGGAAGGGGATGGAGCAGACATTTCTGTGAGCCCTGCTCTCTTTTGGGCTCCCCAGCGGTGCCCGTTGCCGTCTTGCAAATGCAAAAGGCGCTCGTGGTGTTGTCTCGGATAAAGACAACAGCGTTGTCAATACCTGAAGTTAGGAGCCGCTCCGTGTCTCTGACCGAGCCTTCCCTCAGTGCTACAAAATCAAATATTTCAGGGTGATGGAATTGGGACATTTATCACATTCGGGCTGTTTATAGCCGTTTCAGGCAGATGAGGGCTTTCTAATGGAATTAACAATGAGCAGGATAGGTCGGGCAGCAGTAGCTGTAGATACCCAGGCCTTACCATGAGGCAATGGGGCATTCTGCAGTCCCCCTGATGCCAGCACTCCTCAAATTCATGTATTTTTTTCAGGAGGAAGAACTGAAGAAACATATTTATGAAACTGAGAGTGTCATGAAGACAAGCTGTGACATCTACAAGGAGAAAGGAGATTACTATTTCCAAAACGAGTATTACTTCTTTATATGCTCACCTTACCCCGTACCAGCTGGGCACAACTCGGGCAGGAGTGAAGCCACACACGTCAAAAAAGCGAGGCTAAAAACACCACTTGAATATTTGGACCAATATATTAGCGGCTTCTAGGATTTTTTATCTTTTCCAAGACAATGTTCCGGCCTCTCAGGAGTTCTCTCCTTAACCCAGGCTGTGAGGCAGCGAAGTGACAACTTGATCAATCTCCTGTTTGTGCTTCCTAGGACGTTCTTGCTTTATAGCTGCATTTTGAGCTGTGAGCTGTAACTTCAGAGTCATAAATTTGGCCAAAAGAGGGGTGCTGTGCCTTTTGCAAAAGACTTTGCTCTACCCAGCTCCTGCAGCAGATGTAAACATTAACACCTGTAACAAAAATCTGACCACACTAGGCAGAGCAAAACCAGACTAGCCAAATTTTATGCTCTGCTTCAGTGCCACGTGCAGGCACAAGCCTCCTGGAGGAGCTTTGGCCCCGGTGCGCAGTGTTAATGAGCACGTGCCTCACGTCAGCTATGTACGCAACCTCCAGGAAACCTCTAAGCTGCCTCCATGCTTACAGTTGGGCTTCAGCTCGCCTTCTCTGGGGAGATGCAGTGGGCTTTTTGCGCTCCTGAGCGTGTTTGATCTTTTAAAGACATTGGGAACCAGAGGTTTCCAACAGACCTGGTGGGCTGCTTCTGCCCGTTGTATCCGTTGCGAAGCTTTTCCTGGCCATCATGGTTAATAAGCACAGTTTTTCTAAACAAAAAACCAAGTCAACTTTTTTGAGCTCATCTTCTGCCCTCACCTCGTCTGCCAACAAGTCACTCGAGTTCAGTTTTGCTCTTAGACAGGATCCCATCTGCTAAGGGGGCCCACCAACATATAACCAGCAATGCTGTCGTTCATTTTTTTTGTTTAGCCTGGGAAGACAAAGGAGAGGGCTCAAACAAACAGAGCATACTTACACTCGCCTACGCGAGTTTATAAACACCGGGCTTAGTCCTGCCCTTGTACTAATGGAGCATTCCGCGGGGTTTGGCTGGCGCTTCGCACATGCAAAGGCGGTGGCTTCCTCACTGCTGCCAGGGGGAACAAAGCCACGAATATAAAAGAAATTATCATTTCAGGCTTCTCATGAGCTTCACCAAGAAGATGCCTCAACTGACATCTGCAGAGCTGATAAAATTCACCAAGCAAATGACTGCCATTGGCTCCAAATGCTGCCAGTTAAGCCAGGACAAGCTACTGCCCTGCGCCGAGGAAAACGTGAGTGGTTTTCTTTCATATCTTGGTCCTACTTTTTCTCGAAACTCTGCCGCAAATTCTGCTGCCAGCAGAGTCCAAGAGCTCGCAGTAAAGGTAAACGAGAAAAACGATGGCTGAGCTATTGAGCTGGCCTGAAGCTGTACTTCCAGATAGGCGCCTGAAGTAAGCGTAACTCAGCACCACGGAAGTTAACGCTTGACTTTGACTACAGGCACACCAGGCATTGGAAGGGTAGCGCGGTGCAGGCGATCCCACCCTGCTCCCTCGGAAGCTGACCCTCTCGTCCGAGCTCATCCCTTCTGCACACCTGAAGCTGTAGGGCTCTGGGAAAAGGGTCAGTCTTGCACAGCTCTTCCGTACAAATTCACCAGGGCCGTAAAGCAAAGTACTTGGAAAGCTTCAGCCGGTCCTCCAGCCGCCTGGGTGTACATCACCACCTTGACAGGAACAGCCAAACACAGCCACAGAAATCCCGCTGAGGAAAGGAAACCAAATGCAAGCAGGGTTTTATGAAGACCCCACATCATTTCTGTGTGCAAAGCACAGTCCCTAGAACTGCAGACACAAATTTATTCTGAGAAAGCTGAGACCTTTTTGCACCGACAAAAGTCAGCATTCAGCAGAAATATAAACTACCATCTCTCTTACAAACAAGGTTTAATTTAAGTTCTCAGTTATTTTTTATACCTTCGCTGTGAGCAGCATGTACTGCAGGGGGGTTCAAAAATCAAAGAGGAATGCATAATTCATTGGTTTGTTTGGTTTTTTGTTTTGGTTTTTTTTCTCTTGGCAAAGCTGGATCTCGTGCTTGGAGAAATATGTAGACGACACCTGACCGATCCTATAAACACAGGAGTCTGCCACTGCTGTAGCAGCTCCTATGCTCTGAGGAGGCCTTGCATAGGGAAACTAGATATCGATGAGAATTATGTGCCCTTGTCACTGACGCCCGGCCTGTTCACCTTCCACGAAGAGCTGTGTACAACCGAAGAGGAAAAGCTGCAGCACAAGAAGCAGGAGTAAGGCACGCCTGTTCTACCGTTACCCCGTGTTTCTTACTGTTATCCCGGCAACGCTCACCTTTCCCTCGGCCGCTCGCCTTCTGCGACACGCTGTGTAAGAACAGCCACGCACCCCTCGAGCCCTCTTCCAGGCTCCTTTTCTTTCCTCTCACGCTACTCCCAGCTTCCTCTGCTATCTGATTCAGCCTGTAGTTACTTGCCCTACGTTGGAAGAAGGCAATTTTCAGAGGTGGGTAGTTCCACTGGGATTTACACCACCAGAATGGAAGCAATGGGTGTCCCAAGTTAGGTGCGATAAACCTGCACTCCCACCGTCCTTTACGGGACCGCACAAGGCACCACGTAAAAATATACCAGCAGAACAGGGAAGCTACTGCCAGAAGTCCTGCGTGACCTTCCTGGCTTAATTAGGGCCCATTTCCCAGGTTGGGAAAGCCCGTGCATTTTTTCTTATCCCATGCACTCCCTTCAGTCACTGAACAGCTCTGGTGTTTGCTTGCCTTGGTCAGAAGAAACGTGCACGCTGGCCTCCTACTCCACTGTCACTGCAAGAAAAACCCCACCTCTTTGGCCCTTAACTTGTGCTGTGGTGAGCCCACACCGCGCCGGCCCCTCGGGAGTGGTGCACAACACAGACACCATCTGTCTGTGGTTTATTCATGGATATTCATAGAATCATGGAATCCTTTGGGTTGGAAACAGACCTTTAGGATCACCAAGGCCAACCGTTCCCCTACCCCTGCCATCCCAGCACTAAACCCTGTCCCTAAGCACCGCGTCTGCCTGGCTTTTAAATCCCCCCGGGGATGGGGACTTCCCTGGAGGAACGACTCCAAAGATGGGAGTCGATATTTTATTTCACAGGGGAACAGGGGGGCGCATCTTTGCTCCCTGCTGCAAATACGTGTCTGGGTGGTGACTAAAAAAGGCAAAGCTGTAGAAAGGAAGAGGGCAGCGAGAAAACGGGGACTGGGCAGGACCAGCATTGGAGAAGTGCTTGGTAAGCAGAGTGCTTTCCACCCCGCTTCACAGGGCTTGCTTTGCTTTGCTTGCAGAATGCTCATCACCCTCATCAAATACAAGCCCCAGATCACAGCGGAGCAGCTGGGCTCCGTCACGGCGGCCTTCAGTGCCATGAGGGAACAGTGCTGCCAAGAAGAGCACCCTGAGGCGTGTTTTGCGAGAGAGGTATCGTTTCTGTTTGCACCCACGCAGTCCGAATCAAAACGGAAACGCGGCGTATACGCGGGAGTGTAAACGTCTCCATTAAGCAGCTAACCCGAAGCCTGACTAGCCAGAATTCCTGCCGTCACATTCCCAAAGACAAACTTTATTGCCTGCTCAAGTCGATAGGCGTGCGAGCTGAAGCAGAGCACTCACCTAGCCAGCGTTCTGTTTCTGGGCAGCGTTTATAGCACCGAGCTCAGCTGCGCCTGTCGCCTCTGGGAGGCACCGGGGCTCGCACTGCGGAAGGATGCGGGTGAGGCTCTTCCCGGGCTAACAGTTCTTAACTGGATTTTTCTCTCATGAAGTTCCTCTGCGATAGGAAGAGAAAACAACTATTCACATTTTAGATCAAAGCATTTTCCCCATTTATTCTCCCTGCCTCTGTTTTCCTCCTGTCTTTCCCGTGTTATCTGAGCTCACCAAACTTCATGCTGCAGAGCTGCTGTGGCTTCTCTTTGCTCTCCAGTCCATCTGCTTTTGCCTGCCTCGCAGCTCCCTCAGATATATTCCTTGGCTGCGCTTTGACAAGCCATCCACGACCCTTGAGCCTTGCTCGCTCTCTTCCTGAGTCTTTGCCTTCCTGTGCTTTAAATGCTAAAATACAGAAAAGTCTCTCCTCATCAATGAGCTGTTTCCACCTCTGAACGCGCCCAAGCAGCGTAGCTACACCACAGAGTTCTGCTGGCTCCTCCCAACAGAGCTCTATTTCAGTATTTTTCCGACAAGTACCAAATCTGAGCTGAACAGTAAAAGCAAAATATCTATTAAAGACGGTGATGTGCGTATGTGCTGTGCATGCACGGTGTTTGTACACAGCTTGCCGGGGTTACGCAACATTCCCTGCTGCTGCCGTACTCGGGCAGCTCGGTCACAAGTGCGTCACCTTCCTGACTCTCTTGCTCACAGATATTTTGCTTTTTTTTTTTTTCCAGGGTCCGGAACTTATAAAAAGAAGTGAAAAAATGTTGTCGGCATAAAGAGCTTGCACAGCGTCTGGGAAGCCACTGGCTGAATGATAGAAGTTGCACAAACTTAAGAAGCGAGCATCTCTTTTCTAAATGTCCATGAAGTATGAACAGCAACCCGTGATTTGTCATAGCAGAGAGAACGGGGCTGTGGCTCTTTACTCACAAATCCAAAGCAGTCGTGGTGCTCCACACCAGGTACGGCTCTGCCGCTGCCCGATCTGCCGCTGTGAACAAGCTACAAGAGGCGCCTCAGGATAAAACATGGAATTTCCCCACAGAATCTGCTGAGCTGTGGGACTGCAAACCTGGCCTGCTCCCAGAGCTCAGCTTACCTGAGGATTAAACACCTTTATCCCTTTTATTTGGATGGGGGAGAAACTCATACACAAACTTCATCTCCAGCTCCTATGGCTTTGATTCAAAATGATCAAGGATATGGAAAATTAAAGCCAAAGCAAGTAACTTAAAGGCAGTTTAAGTCCACACAGAGGGTGCATCCCCTTAAGGAAATCCACCAAAGACCAAGTTCAATGGGTGGAAATTCAGGGCTTAGACATGGCCACCATCGGACATAATAGAATATTATCTTTCTTACAGCAAATAGTCACAGACACCAAAAAGAGAAAGGCATTTTAAATCTTAAGCTTTCAAAGTATAACTGCAAATGAGATCAAGTTAAGACAATCTGCTGTAACCACTTCTGAATTACTTTTCGATCACCAAATAATTATCTTTGGATTTTTATAGTAGTGTCCTTGAACTACAACTCAGGAAGGCACCAGTATGGGCTGCTCTAGGGGAGTTGTACAGTTGCCTTTAGGCACAGGGAACGATTACCTTGGGCATCCTCATGGAGGTGAGAGAGAATTAAAAACCCAAAAAGTCATGGAAAGGGCAGCACGGGAACTGCTGAAACCCCTGGTCGGCAGGCGAGCGCCTAGGGAAAGCACCCGAAGGCTGCCCGATTCACACTCCAGGTGGCTGGGCACACAAACAGCTTCTGGGTTTTAACTCTCTTTTTTCATTAAAAGAAATTAGGAAGCATGTTAAAAACCACACGCCAGAAACAGTGCGGAAAGGAAGAAAGGGTTTTTCTGGAAGCCTTTGGCTCGAAGGAAGCAGCGGCCAGGTATCAGGTGCTTTTTGGCAGATGTACCTGGTGGTAGTGATCCTGGAAGCATTTCAAAATGTCTGGGAGATAAAGCAGCACTGCCCAAACAAACATCTCGTAAAACGCAAACCCAGCTTCAGGTATTACCAGAGAGGAAGTTTCAGGGTCAGAGTGAAGAGGTTGGCCAGATAGAGTTCCGCGGGAATCCATCCTGCATAAACCTCTCAGCAATAAGGATATAAATATAAATAATGGGAAATCATTAGATCTGCGGCTGACACAGATCCCCTTGCAACATCTTAAATGTTAATGAGGACAAAGTTACCCTGTGACATAAGCATGATGAAGCAGCTGCACCATTGCAGTTCAGGAAAATTACTCGTTAGGGAGCTGCGCTGATAACGACGCAGTCAGAACAAATCACACACGGACTACGAGCCCCCCATGGCTTGCTGCCCATTCAAATCCACCCGGGGTTGTGTATCAGGGCAGAAACAGCACAACAGGCTCTGCCGTGCACCCATCTTGGCTTCATCTTCCTCACCTCCGGTACGGGCTCTGCTGGAGCATTAGGACCCATCTCGGGGACCTCACTTCTAAAGCATTGTGCCGAAAGATAACCGTGGTAACAGTCATTGATCCCAAAAGCAGGAAGAGGGAAGCTGACACATTGGGGTTGCCTGGGTTAACGAGAAAGGCTGCAGGAACCTGGAAATCTTCGTATCCCAAAGACGGATCCCAGGACAAAACACAGGCAGGCAGTGCCCACAAAGGGGAACAACGCACCCGGATTGACCGTCTGGGAAAAGTGGGGAGCTGTGACAGACACACACACACACACACACCCCCAAGGCTTTGCCCAAGCATCAGCCATGTTTTCATGCTCTAGCTCTGAGCTTTCTGGAGATTCCATGTTCTGATGAAGATCAATAGTCTGGCATTTGGGGGGATTCAGCTTTTCTTTTTTTTTTATTAAAATCCAGGGATGACTTTGGACTTGTCTCACAGGGCAGGTTGGCAGCACAAATTGCGGTCAGGTAGATCCTGATTGCTGT